GAGTCACTCGCTGCAGCGGGTGAAATGGCTGATGCCTATCATGAATTACTAAATGCAAAAGAAAAGCTTCCTGTGGTGGATTTAAGGAGCATTAGTATACACACCACATATTCCCCTGTGGCGTTTTTTGTTTCTTGTTTCTTGGGGTTGTTTTGTTGATTACTGGAAAAGATTGGAATGTTTGAGGATGGGTGACAGGAAAGAGCTGGGAAAATAGTCATCTCCAACCTACAAGTATAGAAATGCCACCACAGAGTTGATCCTTATGTTAGAGGCAGTGACTTTCAGAAGGATGCAAATAAAAGACAGCACTGCTCCACCACTAGTTCTTGAGTGAGTATCTTTCTAAGTGCCTAGACAGTGTTGTTACATGTTTAATAGACCCTCACCTGAAGTTTTCTTGTAGAACAAATGAAGAAGGAGGGGACAAACAAAATTTGGAATGGGACATTTCATTTATTACATTGAATATGAATATGTTTCATGTGTACAAAATGTAGCAATATGACCTGAGCATCTGGGCAAGCATCTAAACCACTGTGCTATCTCTCTGGCCCCTCTGCTTTGATTATTAGACAGATCATAATTACAGGTTGGAAGCACGTGAATGATTTAAGAGGAAACAAGGGAGATTCAACTATTCTCATGTTCTTAATTTTGCTTTCATTTTCACAGTTATCAATCTTTGACGTTAGAAACATCCTACTACATGTAATTCAGAAGATTGATGAATATTGCTTTAAAATTCATTTGAAATTTAGGCTGTTTGGTTCTACTGTTCTTAGGCATTCTTGTTTTCAAACACTACAAGATAACAAAGGGGTTGATTAGCTGTTCTTCTTATTTGCAGTAATAATTTGGGGGGGGGATAGATAGAAGCAAAAATTATATATTGGGAGGTGGAAAGGATGGAATTCTCCATAACCAATATCTTCTATCTTTTCATCAAAGGGAAAGGTAAGGATATTCAGTACTACCTGTCTGTTCAAATGTCACTGAAGATATTGTTTGCTTGATCCTATCAGAGGATACAGCCAAGTTGGCTTAAATTTATACCTTTCATTTCTGAGTTTGAATATTGTTGTATTATAATTCTGTTAGTGAATAGTTTCAGTTTTTCTCAGGACTGAGCCTTTTCTCTATATAGAAGGTTTGCCCTTTCTGCGCTCAAGAGGGGATTTGTCCCAAATGAAACGAGTGTAGACATTGTGCCAGATATCTTTTTTCTCAGAGCTTCATGGTCATTCTCCATCTGCTAAGAAGCAGCTGAGGCTACTCAGCAGCATCTAACATATTCAGGTCTCTACACAAACATAGCATGTCTGAGGCTCCATGGATAAGAGCTTGTGTTTGCAGGGGCTTGTTGGAGATGAAATCCAATATTCTCAGACACAACTAGACAGGGACAGACAAGTGAGGGCACTACAAATGACCTCTTTAGAAAACCAAGGCATTTCTTTTTTGAAAAATGTATGTGATGTCGTGGGTTTTTTCGTCTGCTACTGGGAGTAGAGAGGTCCTGATGATATTGCAGGTCATGCACCCCTAGTCATCACTAAGGGGAAAATGAAAATAGACCCTGGGTCCTAACAAAAGCACTGCATAAAGGTTGTAGAAATCAGTGCTGTTCGCTTTACAAAGGCAAAATCTTTAACCCCCTTCAGTCCCCCTCAGGAACCTGACTGGCATTAATACACTGTCCTCTGTGTGTGTGTGTGTGTGTGTGTGTAGGAAGCATATAAATAGCTTTATTCATTTAGCAATAGGAGGGGTTTCTATTTTGTCTCCAAGGGCACTGAAAGGGATTATCAATTGTGGATTCAAACTGGAAAACTGGCAGCACCATATCTTCTAGTAGGTGAGTTTCTGAAAATTTGATAAGATGGATATGTTTTCCTAACTTCTGAGAGCCAGAATTGGCCAGAAAGTTTAACTACTAAATATGAAGCATAAATACTAAATATTAAGCATTTCCAGAGTGGCAGTCTCAAGTACCTAATAGTAGAGTTGGGAAGAATAGTGTGGATTTTTCTCTTCAATTCTCAAAAGCAGAACTAGTTTACCAAACTTTAAAAAAAAATCTGTCAGCAGTATGTATTATTTAATTTCGCCTACACATTTGTCTTTCCTATACAGTTCTTGAATTCTTTTTCCTTATAAGATTAGGCTACCTATTAAGGTTTGCTAGTTTGACCCCCACATGGTAAGTAGGTAAGGTCTACTAAATCATAGATTGGAGATCGAGAGATCCCAAGAATTTTCTGAAGAGTTGGTATAGCTTAACATCAAAGGAGAAACAGGACTGCCTGGAAATACTGTATTTCTATGCCAACACAGGAAACGTGCATTCCAAGCAACATTGTCTCTTTCTTTGCCCTTCTTTCCCTTGCCCACTTAAAACGGCTTTGGCGGAGTCCCTCTGTGAGTAGACCTAGGGATGGGTAGACCGAGGGCCAGGAATAGATCCTAGCCCGTTGCAGTGTGCAGCACCAGCGCCAGGACCACTCAGCCGTAAGTCTCCATTGTGGTTTTTCTCTGTGTAGGTCATGAGATACCGTACAATATCCAAATGAGCCATGTCAGAAGCAACCTTGGCATCGTGGTACCGACGACTGAGGACATAACTTTCATCCAGCCACCACTCTTCACAAGAGCACACCTTCGTCCAAGGTCAAGATGCCAGTTTATTTTGAAACCCACCCCCAGGACTCCTGCATTGACCAGAAATGGTGAGTAGCTGCTCCTCTGCACAGTCCTGCTGCGTTTTGATGCCAAAGGTTTCGTTCCTGAAAACAGTACCGAGATCCACACTTGCAGTCGGATGAGATGGTTGTTGAATTTTCCTAAAGCAAAGACAGTTTTAGGAGGTGGTCATTACGGAAATTCTTGTCTTTCTACATTATTCATTGCTCTTAAACTGTAGGCACATTACAGCGTTGGAGGCTCCATTGAGCGATACAGGTGTGCAGTGCCTTCTTTCTAGCATGGGACATTGCACTGTGTGTTTCTCAAAATAGTCCCATCTTCAAAAAAGGTAGTTTGAGAGGGTCATCCCCTACCTGCATTCTGGGTCAGGTGATTTCCATAGAACTCTCTTTTGGGTCCATTCATCTAACATGCATTCCCTAGAAACATAGCCATCTCCTACCTATGCCATCAAGAAAAAGAACTCTAGATGATAAAGTGGCATTAAATGGAGGGGGTCCCAAGTGTGAGCTTTGAAGTCTTTAGTCTGAAAAGGAGAATGATCTGGTTTAATTTTCCTGTTATGAATACAAACCAGGTGTCTGTATTTGCAATACAAACAAAAGAATCATTGGGATAGTGAAAAGTCCATGCTGAATTTCCATGGTTGTCTTTTGTCAATGTGAACCGACTGAGGGACCCAGAAGTAACTCTCTTATATATCTACTGCACACACCCTCACCCTATTTTCCTGATTTCTTTTGGCCACTCCTGACTCTGCCCTCAGGTACTGAATGTGGGTTGGCCATGTGTGTGCAAGACAAATGCCCTACCTGCTGTACTATCTCTCGAGCCTCTAAAAAATTTGAGGTAACAGTGCTTTTCAGGAAACTTGAACATCACATGCCAAATGATACATACAAATAGACAGATATGCATATTAGGAAATGTCTCAGGAACTCTGCTGAGACCATCCATATTTCATTTGCTTTTTTTCCAACTGAGATTTATTCTGAGAAACCTTGTCTCACAGGTGGTTGAATACATAAATTACCACAAACAATACTCTTTTCCCCACTTCAAGGAAGTAGTCAAGACTTTGTGAAAACTTTCAGTCACATCAGTCACAGTTTTAAAAGCAAGACAGCTTTATTTAGTATCTGGCAGCAAGACAGATAGGAGAAGATATTTGAATATATAAAATGAACTAGACAGACTGACCAAAGTTGAACTGGCAAAAACAAAAGACTGATTACTCAACATTTTTATCTGTGACTTAAGTAGGGAGAGTTGTATTGGACTTTATTTATGTCTTTAATTTACTTTTCAATAAAGTGGTTTGGGATAATTTGTTACATTACATATTCTAACACCGATCCCACCACTATTGTACCTTCCCACCACCATTCTTTCCAATTGTCCCAACCACCCCTCAAGCCTGCCCCTAGATCAGAGCCTGAGTTATTGATTTTCTATGGCTTGTTATCAATAATTTGCTACAAACCGTCAAAAGATGTTCCTGTAGAAGAAAGTATGTGAAGATTATTGTAGCTCATCATGGAGCCCTTAGGCCCTTGTAGAAATGGTTACTAACATGCTCTTACAGGTTAAGCCTTAAGTCATGATATCTTGTTCATAAGCATAGGTTGCCTTGTACTTTCCATCCCATCCAATGTGGTGTGCTCCTCCTTATTTATCAGTGATGTGAGTTTGAGATGTTGTTCTAAGAATTCTAAAATTCTGAATGGGCTGAACCATCAGAACATATCTTTTAACTGGGCTGAAGTCACTTTTATTTTAAAGTGACTCTTTTTGGATCAGAACCCTGAGGTGTTTTTTTTTCCCAGACAAATCTGGAATTGAGCTGAGAGCTACCTGGAATGGAATGATCTAATGTAGCTCTTGAGATTCTAACCTAAATTGAATTCCCAGTTTGAGGTTCACATTGACTCCTCTGTGTGAGCCTCAGGGATCAACAGGAACTGACCTACTTCATTAGGTCGTGACATTTGTGATGAAGTTCTTCCCCTGCATGTTTGCGCTGACCTTGGCATCTCTTTTTTGATGGATTCAACTGTTTCTGTTACCTAAGGAAGCCTGTCCTTTACTTTGAGAAATGCAGTGCCAAAACTCTACACTTGGTTGATTTCTCCAAAATAGGGAAATACCCAAACTTTAGTTTCAGTGATGAAAAGGCTAGCAAACAAAGACTTGTATAGAACATTTTTTCTCTTTGAACATCACCTGGAATAGAAAGTGTCAATGAAGTGAAGTCAATTCAACTAACTCGTACTGATCTTCTTCCCTAAACTCAGGCCACAGAAATGTTCTGCGACAAAGATCTGTTCTAAACTGGTCATTTTGGAGAAGGCCTAACACACAGTTGGATGATGGATCAGATTCTACGACAGGAAAACTGTTTGGTATCTCTTTGCCAAACATCTGCGAAAATGGCAACTTACCAACACCGATTCTTGTGAGTTCTGTTTTGTCCTGTAACACTAACTGCCCCAGGCGCCATGGAATCTCATCAATGGCCAAGACACAGTGGCCATAAACTAAAGCTCCCAGGAGCGAACAAGACAGATTTTCCTGGACATTATTTTCTATTCATAACAAGCAATACAAAACAAATTGTCTAGCATTGCCTTTTCAGCAGGTTTCAGTGGTGGTGGGACTGGTGTCAAAATATTGAATGTAACCAAATTAGAGAGAGAGAGAGAGAGAGTGGAGGAAATTGTCTGCCACATTGGCTGGGGAAGGGGGTAGGGGAATATAGGATATTTTGGTGGTGAAAAAATGTGCACTGGTGAAAGGATGGGTGTTTGATGATTGTATTACCAAAGTTCAAACATGAAAGTTTTGTAACTATCTCATGGTGAATCAATAAAAAGGGAGAAAAAAATAAAATAATAAAATAAAATAAACATTCTGAATGCAAAAAAAGTAATGTGGACTTCATGCCCAATTCAATCAGCTTAATCAATGGCTGAGTAAATAGTCCTACTCCGATATTTAAAAAAAAAAAAAACAAGAAGGGGAAGTCTGTCAAAGGAGAGCTTTGATGGAAAACTCTTCCCAAATAGAAGGACGATAGATAACCACATGCCTGCCAGTATCATCATCAGTAACTTAAAGGATACAAAACCCAATTGAACTCTATCAGAATTCTAGAAAGGTTTTGATCATCTGGTCTACTAGTGTTAGTAAACATCACATAAGCCTGCTCAGATCAATTAGAATTTGCCTTTTAGATAGAGAATCCACAACATCTCCACACCCTGTTCCTTGAACTCAAAAAGTATTCTGAAAGCCAGTTTCACATTAGAAGCAGAGAATAGTTTGGAGAAGACTCTTTCATGGGTTTTATAAGTATTTCGATTCTTGGCACATTTGGTTACCATTCATCAATGGAGTGGCTCAGAAGATAGGCTCCAGTTCATGAGTTTCCTCCTTACATGAATATGGTATGTGCCATTGCAACGTAGGAAATACTAGTCGAGCCACTTTTTAGCACAAATTTAGGGAGTAGTTCTCTTCCTACTTTAGATTACAATGCTGGGGTTCTAGTATCAGGTATTGCTATAACTAGGTTCCAGAGTCCCATGGGTGCTTGTCTCTTCCTTCAAGCAGAGGACAGAGCAGGAAAGAGAAATTCAAACGGTATTCCGAGGGAATGTAGTAGAGAAAGCTTCCACCAGAGGAGAGTGTTGAGTTTTTTGCAGCAGGAAGTAAACACACACTGTCTGTGGCACTGTGGCACTGTCCTCCCATTGTTCATCGATTTGCTCGAGCAGGCACGACACAAGTGGAATGACATATGAAACGGAAAAAAGAAAAGCAAGTGGAGAAATTTGGCAGAAATATTTTTATATTTGGAATCAGGGAGGAGAATGGGGAAGTCTGTGTTAGAAAGGAACAGGAAAATACTGAGGAGGAGAAAGGTTAGCAGAGAAATTTGACTATTGGTTCGCCGAACAAACAGATGACATTTAAAACAAGCGTCTGTAGTAAAATGTCTTGGTGGGATGTTGACTATAATAGCATGAATATATAGAATGATGAACTACCAGAAAACACATGGGCTTTCGTCCTCCTGGCAGTTCCCTAGTTGTGTAAACACACAAAAAAGAAAAAGGCCGGCGGTCAGGCCGCTTCCCCACTCCAGGGAGGTCGAAGGCGATGGTCAGGCGAAGGAAGGAAACGAGGGCCAGGCTGGTTGGTCTTAGCAGCGATTTATTACATGGAAGAGATGTATGTCACGGAGGCCTCAGGAATCCTCAAGCATGTGCACACTTGTTCTCTCCGCTTCTTTCCTCAGCCCCATCTTCCCAGGTTCTCTGGTGCACGTGTCCCCCCCCCCCCCCGCAGAGAGCCCTGAAATCTCCCTTATATAGATCATAGTACCTCTAAAGGGTGCAATATAATGATGTCATCAAAAGGAGTTACAGAAAGAACACTGAGGCAAAACATACATTGTTTCTTTACATCTGCTGGCCAGTAATCCTGGCCTCACCTTTTTATAAGCTATAAGCACTTAGATTAGCACAACAAAGACCAGTCTGCTAGAGCTTGGAATCTACATCTCCAAAATCAACCAGCCTGGAGCCAGGCATCTACATCCCAAAGACCAGGCCTGGCTTAGCACCTGGGATCTGTATACCTAAGGCCAGCTAGGTTCCTGTGAGATAAGAGAAACTACCTCAATATACTGAAATCATTTACTGAAGGCAGTTTGAAGGGGAGAAAGCAGTCTCATCCAAGCTAGTCAGGACACACAGGAAAATTGCTTCTAGGACGTGTTTCTCCTCTCCTTCTCCAACCAACATATAAGCATACATAATATTAATCATTTTGTATGGACACAGTAAGAAATACTTTGAGCTTATAGAATTGCTCTTCTAGGGCCATCTCGATCTCAGACTGCAGTGCTCAGGCCAGATATCTTTCCTATTCCTAGCAGCAGGGCCCTAGTCTCGTCATTACTTTTGGATCATGACATCATTTGCCTATGATCAACCTCTTAACTTATAGTTAAGAATCGTGGCACCTTAGCCTGGCCCATCGCGATGCCAGGGTAGCACATAACTTACTGACTTGCCCTGGTTCCATCCAGTCCCACGTCGGGACCCTGCCCTTGGGGTGCTAGGAAGTGAGGGCAACTGAGGCTTAAGTTGAGAAGGCAGATGCCCAGGAGTGAATAATATTCAAAGCCAATCAATTCCTAAGTTACAGAGCATATTAATTAATTGTCTTCCTGAATCTATACAAAAGGACATTGCATTAAAGTAAACTGCTCAAAAGACATAAGGAGAGGAGAAAGGAAATATTAACTTACAGTACAGCTTCAGTGTCTAAGCAGGATGAGACCTTACAAATTGGTTGGGGAAGAGAGCATAGAAGAGGTTACAGACAGACAAAGTAATGGGAGTGACTCAGGAGCACTGTGATGGGTGCAACCTGATAAACCTAAGCTCCGTGTACTCCAACAGGCTTTCGTCTTCCTGGCAATTCCCTAGTGATGCCCCGATATGAAGCACCATTCTGCTTTTCCTCCCTACAGAACATACTATGGCTCCTTTATGAGAGGGGGCCCTTGACAGAAGGCATATTTCGTCAATCCGCAAGTGTGAAGGCATGCAGAGAATTAAAAGAAAAATTAAATGCCGGCACTGATGTACAGATTTATTGCGAGCCACTTTTTGTAGTGGCCTCCGTTTTCCAGGTACGAAAGGTTCTCCCTTAATCCACTCTGTCCTGTGTTGCTCAGGAGAAATACAATGGGATTCCCTCGCGTAACATGCTCAGAATAAACTGCAAGCCTGAATGGTTCTTAGATAAACATCAGGAGCTAGAGAGATAATACAACTGTTAGGGCTCTTGTCTTACACACAGCGTAGCAGGATTCAATGCCAAGCACGTTTAGCTGGTCCCCCAAGTCCTGTCAAGTGTAAGCCCTGGGCAAGGCTGCATGTGGCCCAAAACCAAAAAGAAAAAAGAAAGAAAGAAATCATACTTTATCAGGTCAGCATTGAGTTTTTTTTAAAGCCACCAGGAAGTCTAAGAGCGAACACAGCAGGGAAAGCATTTGCCTTGCACACAGCCCAAAAGCCTATAACAGAAGTATTCATAGCATGATTCTCAAAACAAACATCCTAATACAATAACTTTCATACAGTCTTCCTACCTTCTTAACACTGGCAAGATTTTCTAAAGGAAGCTCACTAAACTTGAAAACTAAAGTTTGCCACAAGAAGCATTTGCCTAAGGAAGAGATATTGCTTGGGTGAGTGGGGTGGGCTGGGGTTGGGGAGCCACTGAAAACTCCACTCTTTTGAACCTTTACGGTTCTTGCTGCGCCCCACTAATGCCATCCCATGCAGGACAATCCTGTGGTGCCAGTGATTGAAACTGAGGCTCCTGCATACACAGCATCCTCTCTAGCCTGCTAACATCCCTTCTAATAGAGGCAAAGGTTGAGAAGGAAGAACCACAGAATCTGGACTGCCTTTCTCAAAGAACTCCCAACGTCGGCCTTGTTGGCGTTCCTCGCACTTAGACTTAGGGTACCAGAGTTTGATCCACAGTTGAGCTAGAGAAAAAAAATGCAGAGTCAGAGCCATCTTTTAGCAGTTTTGAACTTTTAGGTTTGAACTCAGCAGGAGCTTCTGTAGACCTGTTTTACCTTCCCACCTCCCAGCAGGGTTGGAATGCACCAGAGCCAGGAGAGAGAAAGGTCCTGGAATAAACATCCAACTCAGGAAGTATGGTGAAATGGCACACTCTGCCCACCCCTAGCAAGTGCAATTTAGGAATAGGAAGTGAGCTGGCTCTGCTCCTTGACAACTCTGAAGTAGAGGTTTGCAATGAAGCACCTCTCAAAAGAACTGAAGATTGGTATTAGGTTCTCTCATCTGGTTTGGCCAGAGTATATGATGACTTGTCAATCCTAAATATAATCCAAGGTATACATGCTGTGCTTACCCAGCTCTGATACTGTAAGGTTTTTTTTCTGTTTTGAGATGTCAGATTTTCTCTCATCTTTAAGGAATTTAAACCACATGTCTTGAAAATTAATTTTACTGTTCTTCACCAGGTTTAGAATGTGAATTCTTAAATTTTGTACAAAATCCTAAGGTTATACACAACAAAACTTAAGAAGAGTTTAACTGCAAGTGATTTGTGCAAAAATAAAATAAAAAACTATCAGTATAGTAGAAAGTCTGTTCAAGTGAGTCCCAGCTATCTGTTTGCATGCAGTTACCAGAAACATCTTGGTTTCTAACCAGATTCTAACTTGATTCTAACCAGAAGTTAGAATCGATCAGAAAAAGGACCGAGTCAGTCATGTTCCTACTTGTGAAATCAATTTATTAATAGGTAACATGACATCAAGGGGTTTTTGTAACAGTCATAAATACATTCTAGCTTCCAGTTTATTTTTTAAAGTTTTTAAGTTTTTTTTCATTTTTGGAGCATTACAGAGCCGTTCATAATTGAATTCCAGTCATACAATATTCCAACACCCATCCCTCCAGCAGTGTACATTTCCAGCACCAGAGTCCCCAGGTTCCTGCCCAACACCCCTTGCCCCCTCCCCTTGCTGCCTCTTTGGCAGGTGCTTTTCTGAACTCACTCTCTCTCTCTCTCTCTCACCCTCTATCCTTTTGGGCATTGTGGTTTGCAATATTCATACTGAAAAGTTATCAAGAATATTTCTTACCTACTTTTAATCCTCAGATCTTGTCCAGAGTGATCATTACATTACCGGTTATTATTGTCATAGCAGTCACTTCTCTCTCTTACCTACCCTCAGCCCCACACACACTTGTGGCAAGTTCGAACAACTGACCAGTCCTCCGAACCCAAAGAGGCTTTCTAATGACCATAAGATCTCAGCTACAATTAGCTAAACTTCCCATATGTCCTTCATATCTATTTGACTATATGACAAATTGCAGCAGACCCATAATGACCCCTACTCTATATGAGAGGAGTAAAGAAATAAATAAACCATTATTTACTTTCAAAATAGTCCATCATTGCTCTGGGATCTGCTCATTAAACTAACAGGCACCCCAGCTCAAACATTAGCCCTGCAAACATGGCATCTAAATAATAAATTTTGAGTTGCCTGTGCTCAGGTAAGTAAAATCAATAATTTGGTTTCTCAGCAAGAGTTGAAACTGCCACGTCTAGAGTCGCATCTATCTTTCTCTTGTATCAACTTACAAAAAGGCAGCCTACTTCTCAGGCAGTGTTGGAGACCAGGATTGGAGATCAAGCTTTGCAAGCTCAACTTGATGAAGACTGTTGATTGGGATAACCTTTTGCTGGTGTCATACTCTGCTTCCATCAACTGCATCTATTTAGAGCCTGGAATGATTTCTCCCCCAAATCTATGAGAGCACTTATGTGGAGAACACTGGGAGAAACTGGAGTGTCTCCCCCAAGAATAGGAAGTAGCAGGGAGTTAGTATTCTTCACTAGACTAGCCTTCGCACCACAGCTAGTGCCTGTCCCATCTGAGGAAATAGGAGTACAATAAGTAGCGGGCTGGTTACCACATGCCTAACCTCAGAAAGACCATGTTAGTGCATCTATTTCTCTGAGCTACTGGTCTAAAGTTGTGTGTGTGGGCGGGATGGGGGTGGGGGTAAGCCACAGGGCAAGGGAAGGTGCTGTCTGCTTACTTACGGCCAGACTAGCCCGTTGTATACATTGCTACATGCACACAAAAGGAGGTGGAAGTTTCAATAGACTTCAGTCTTCAGTGACTCCTCTAGTTTTGGGGTACAAGAGAGTCAAAGTTCAACTAAAGCATGTGTTCGTAAAAGTGAATGTTAGTGCAGAGTTGACCAAGAACTCTGTTTCCCGGAGAAGGGAGAAAGAAATTTAACGAATCTTCCCACCCAAAGCTTTTCTTCTTTGCCCCATACTTAGGAGCCTGAATAATGACTTAAATATTTCAATTTCTTCTATATAAGGATTTTTTGAGGAGTATTCCAGGTAGTCTATTGTCATCAAACATGTTTGAAATTTGGCTTTCGATAATGGATGAAGCGAATCCTGAAGAGCGCATCCGTACTATCCAGTTGTAAGTGCGCTAGTTTTGTCATGTCTCAAAATCTTTCTGAAATGTATAACTTGCCTAGGAAAGTAATGATGACTATTAAAAGCACATTTGAGGGGGCTGGAGCAATAGCACAGCAGGTAGGGCGTTTGCCTTGCACGCAGCTGACCTGAGTTCGATTCCCATCATCCCATATGGTCCCCTGAGCACCGCCAGGAGTAATTCCTGAGTGGAGAGTCAGGAATGACCCCTGTGCATTGCCGGGTGTGACACCCCCCCAAAGAAAAAGCAAAAATAAAAAAAACACATTTGAAATAGTAGGCGCAAGAAAGATAGTGGAACAGGAGGGAGCTTGCCTTGCACACAGCTGATCCAGGTTCCATCCCTGCCATTCCATTTGGCATCCTCAAACACCATTGGATGTGACCCCAAAAAAAAACAGAACAAACCAGGAGAGTAGATTAGCTGCCGTCATTGGTATTTCAGACGTAATTCTACCACATGGAATTCTTTACCTTTCTAAGAATCTGATAAGAACTGAAACCAATAACATCCAGAGCTAATGCTCTAGACCAAATCTTATCATTGGCGGTCTTAATTTTGTTAAGTATTTCACCAAACAACTCCTTAAATGTCTAACTCAACATCTGGATTCTTCTCTCAAGGAACTCTAAAGTCTGAGCAGATAAACTAGGAATTATAGTACTGTCTCATCAATGCCAGAAAAGACATAACTAGGGGTGGGATCTTCTTGGAGAGGCACTGCAGAAGGCTGCTCACTATTAAGAGTCAAGGGAGAGGGGAGTTGCAAAGTCTCTCCATCTTAATCACAGAGAACACATGGTTCTGCTGCAAAGGGAAGTTCCTAGCAGAACTCTGCACCCCTGACCCTAAACATTTTCTGTATTATGAAAGAATAAGAAAGATATGTCTAGCGACTGGAGCGATAGCACAGTGGGTAGGGCATTTGGCTTGCACACGGCTGACCTGGGTCCAACTCTTCACATTCCATATGGTCACCCAAGCACTGCTAGGAGTAATTCCTGAATGCAGAGCCAGGAGTAACCCCTAAGCATTGTTGGTCTGACCCAAAAATCAAAAGAAAAAAAAAGAAAGAAAGATATGTCTACCCTAATAAAAAGCAACACTTCCTTCACCTGTGAAAATGCAATCACTTATTTTTGCAAACGCTAGTTTAGTAGTCCTTTCTGGAATAACATTTAAAAAAGTTTGTTTCATTTGAATGAATCAAAGTGAGATACAATTACAGACTTACAAACTTGCATGATTACTTATTGGTTATACAGTTCTTGAATACACATCCCTCCACCTGTGCCCATTCTCCATCACCAATGTTTCCAGGATCCCTCCGACCACACCTACCCTTTTGCTCCCCTCTCCCCAACTCTGAGGCAGGCATATTCTCTCTTTCTCTCTCTTTCTGGGTATTGTTCTTTGCAATACAAGTACCAGGTGACCATCATGTTTGGGCGATGGTCTACTTTCAGCACGCATCTACCATCCCAAGCAAGCCCTCCAACCATCATTGATTTAGTGGTCCCTTCTCTATCCAGCTGCCTTCCCTCAGCACATGAGAACAGCTTCAAAAGCCTTCCCCGCAGAGATCCCCTTGGCTCCTATCTCTACTCTCCTTAGGTGTTGGTATCCGATTATTTTACTTTATATTCTACAACTGAGTGCAGTCATTCTATGTCTGTCACTCTCTTTCTGACTCATTTGATGTGATACTCTCCATGTCCATAAAATTGTTTGAAGAAAACCGCCCTAAAGCCCTTCTGGAGTAACCTTGAACTTGTGAATTATCTAGACTGCTGTTGATAAACTATGTTCTTCTATTAACAAAAGAGGTCTAGCTCCTAAGAGGGTCAGAAATCAAGGCCATGGAACAAAGAGGTTATTACTTTCATTATGATTTTGTGGGATGTTCAGACAGAATGAACATCAGATTATATGCTTTGTTGCTTGTCTTAAAGATCTTATCCTACAACCTCAAATAGTTCAAAGACTGATGACCTGAAAGTCAGAGAACCAAAAGAGAGTACCCTAGACAATAGCTGCCTTCTTACTGAACTTCCTCAGCAGTCTTTAGATTCCTCGTCCGTGTCCTTTATACCCTTTCCCTACAGACTCTACCCATTAGACCACTGCACTGAGCCTAAGTGCCTCTGCTTCATTTGGCGCAGCACCACCCACCTGATTTTCCCACTGGCTGCAGATTCTGGCTAAAAATAACAAACTTTCAAGATTATCAATAATGTCTCTGTTTCTCTGGGTAACAGTTAAAATCATTTTTAGTGACTAATTGTTTGAAATCCCTTATGAGCTGCAGTCCAGACAGTGGGAAACATAGTGTGAGAGTGAAGGAGAATGCTAAGCTCTGGATGGAGCAAGGATGTGTCCCAAGCACACAGCTGAGGCCAAGTGCTTGGGACACCAAAAGACACACTGGCATTTCTGCATTGCTGGAGCAACTTGATATTTCAAGGAGCATGTTGGGAGCTGGAGTATTAGTAAAGCCAGTAGGACACTTGCACGTGGCCAACCCGGGTTCAATCCCCGCCACCCCATTTGATCCCACAAGCCTGCCAGAGTGATTCCTGAATGAAGAGCTACGAGGAATCGCTGAGTAACATCAGGTGCACTACCCCACTCCCGCCAAAAAAAAAAAAAAACACATTAGTTGTTTAATTTCCTCAGAAAGTGTGTGGGATAGTTAGCTTGAGAGTGTTCGGAAATGTCTCTGGGTTTCAGGCAAATATTTTAGGCAGCGCTGTTTTACAAACCATTCAGTACCACTTTTACATCTTTCTAGACCCAATGCCCTATTCATTTGACCTCTCTACAGGCAGTGCTCACTCTGCACACCATCACACTCACTAAAACTCTGCATATCTGACTGTGCTCTTACTTTCTTTGGTTCCCTATGGACAGAAAAAGTGCCTACTCTATACAAGCTTTCTATGAAATGTCTTCTCTAAAGTGCCTTATTCTTTCTTTAGACTCTTACAGCATCTTCCAAGAGACAACATCACTGTCCTGAGGTATCTTTTTGGAGTGCTACACTGCATTGAGCAAAATTCCTCTTTAAATAAGATGAACGCTCTCAACTTAGCTATATGCATAGCCCCTAGCATCTTGGGGCCACCAAGAGATACCCCGAAGGTGGAAACAGAGATTTACGAAAAGGTAATGGCATTTCTTTTTTCTTTTGATGCCCCAGGGAACTGAGTTTTATTTCCTATAGCATTTGGGGTAGTTCTGGTGTCTTCTTTAAGTAACATACCATACCTTACAGACTACATTGAACATGTTATCCTAGCCTGTTCATCTATTCACACATGGATGGCAGTACCGTAATTTGTGTTAAGCCACATTCAAGTGTGAAACACTGATAGTACACGCCAGCATCAACATATTCAACAGAGAAGTACTCCCAATTGGGTCACTTCTCATTTCCCTTGAAGAAGGCAAGTCCTTATGTCTTAAAGTGATGAGAAAGCAACTGACTTATATGAAGGGAAGAAGAACTTTGAAGTGGGACAGGTCACGGTTCAATTCTCAGCCCATTATGTACAGAAAAAAAATATATATCTGTATATGCTCTTAGAAAAATGATTTGCAGTGTCCACCATTGCCAAATCTAAAAATCTGAAGTAATGGTAATCTCAAACTCATATTCTAGTGACTGGGAGCCACACTCATGTACAGTGTTCTTGCTTCCACCATTCTTCCTGTTCCACTGTCTCAGACACTGGGGCAACAAACCAAAGATTCCAGTATCCATCTCCATAGGGGCTGCTGCCCCAGGTGAAACTTTACCTCCTCCCACATCAGGGAATTCAAGGGAATGAACTTCACTGGCAGAGGCTGTGAGACAGAAGACAAACTCCCTCCTCCTTAAGAGGCCCCATGAGCACAGCCTCTGCCCACACTCACACACTTCATCAATACTTATCAAAGAATGCTTTACCAATTTTCATGATGTATGATTTTGTCGCTTCAAATACTCTACACAGAGGATACTGAAAACAGTCCTCATTTTAAAGTCAGAGCCATTGGCAGAAAAGCGTTAGCATGAAATCCAGGTCACAAATAGTGATTCTTTAATGTATACGCCAAATATCATACTCAGATGGAGAGTTAAGACACTTGACTTGCATGTGGCAAACCCCACACCTAGCACTTCCTATGGTTGCCCAGATACCGCCTGGTGTGGCCCAAGTCCTACACCCTCCATCCCCAAAAATGCCTTGTGTTTTGTGACTTTGAAAGCAGACATTTCTCTTAGGATTCACGTATTAAAGGTGACTCGAAGAAAGGCTGTATAAAAACAGGTGCTTCCTTTTTTGTCCTTTTTGAACAGATGTCCAAACTCATTCAATTCATGATAGAGAATTGTTTCCAAATTTTTGGAGAGGTAATCATTTGCCTCTTTGGAGAAGTTTCGAAACCATATGATAGGAAAAAGAATATTCCAGGTATTGTAAAGAAACAAGATCTCTAGGGGGTTGGGGGTGGGAGAACATGGACACTTGACTGGAACAGGGGGTATTTCTTAGAAGGCAGGTCTTTCTTGTCAGCAAAGGTCAGGGCATGGGGACGTCCACAGATTCACTTGGTGAGGTCCCAGAATCCAAGTAACTCATCAGCAACATGAGATACTAGAGTCATTTTAGCCTCTATTCAAATAAAGTTACACTAGGACCAAATGTGTTTACGTTGCTATGGTTGAAGTTGTAGTCAATGTCCCAGTGGCAAAGTAAGGCTTGTCTTTGGCTGTGTGATTCCTGGCATAGAGTCCTTGAAACTAAAAAAATAGTATCATGGCTGGTGTCCATGACTGAGTGGTGCTTGCATGTGGGAGGCCCTGAGTTGGATTCCTGGCAATGCCTTCCTCACCCCAGCACAGCTAAAAGGGGCTGAGCAGCAAGTTTTCTCTCACCCTGATCACCTTTTCTAGTCCTTCAAGTTCCTCTCCAATAGAGACGACTTTTCAGGCTCAAAGGATACCTGGGATTGCTCTTTGGGCTCGCACGCTGATAACCCTGATTTTGAAATGTCTGGTTTCTCAGACGGCAGGCCAGCACTGCTTGGCTTCTACAAAAAAAGGACACGGTGGGATGGTATTCATAAAATAGACAAAAATCATTGCTGTTGTGGGGAAGGAGGTTTGGAATATGAAGTCCTGTTCTATCAATGACTAGTTCTATGGTCTTCAAGCTGCCATAGCTGCACCAAGAAAATACAGAGAAATCTAACTAATGGGGACTGAAGCAGTAGTACAACAGGTAAGGCACTTGCCTTGCACGTGGACGACCTGGGTTCAATTCTTGGAACCCCTTTGGGTCCCTGAGCCTGCCAGGAGTGATCACTGAACACTGCTCGGTATGGCCCAAAAACCGAATGGGTGTGTATGGGTGTGTGTGTGTGTGTGTGTATACAAAAGACATACAAAAAGAAATAGTAGTTGTTACAGTTTTCTGAGCCTAGAGTTGTAAGTCCCCACCAGCGATCCATGTTAAAAATCTGAACCCACACTTCATCCACAAAAAGCTGAATACACATTCTTCTCAAGCGTACAAGGAACATTCTCCAAGATAGACCACATGCTGAGCCACAAAACATGCCTCCATAAAATTAAGAAGGTAGAGATTGTATCAACAATCTTCTCAGACCATAATGCGCTGAAATTAGAAGTAAATCACACACAAAAACAGAAAACTAAATCAAACACCTGGAAATTAAACAGTGCACTATTGAACAACGAGTGGATTAGACAGGAAATCAAAGAGGAAATCAAAAGATTCCTAGAAACGAATGAAAATGAGAACACGAGTTACCAAAACTTATGGGACACAGCAAAGGCTGTGTTAAGAGGAAAGTTTATAGCTCTACAAGCATTCCTCAGGAAGGAGGAGCGAGCACACATAAGTAACCTAACCTCACAGCTTAAGAGCTTGGAGAAGGACCAAAAAAAGGAGCACAACCCGAACAGGAGAAAGGAAATAATAAAACTCAGAGCAGAGATTAATGAGATGGAAACCCAAAAAACAATCCGAAAGATCAATGAAACCAAGAGCTGGTTCTTTGAGAAAATTAACAAGATCGATAAGCCTCTAGCAAAACTCACAAAGAAAGGGAGAGAGAAAACCCTAATAAACCGAATCAGAAATGAAAAGGGGGTCATTACAACAGAAACCACAGAAATTCAGAGGATCCTCAGGGTGTACTTTGAGAAGCTTTATGCCACGGAACATCAAAACCTCGAGGAAATGGATAAATTCCTAGACTCCTACAGACTCCCAAGGCTGAACCAAGAGGACCTGGAATACCTGAACAGACCTATCACCATCAAGGAAATTGAAATGGTAATAAAAAGTCTCCCCAAGCACAAAAGTCCTGGCCCGGATGGATTCACTAGTGAATTCTTCCAAATCTTTAAAGAGGACTTACTCCCAATACTCTTTAAGCTTTTCCACGAAATTGAAATATCAAAAACACTTCCAAACAGTTTCTACGAAGCAAATATCACACTGATACCAAAAGCAGACAGAGATACCACAAAGAAAGAGAATTACAGGCCGATATCCCTGATGAACACAGATGCAAAGATCCTCAACAAACTACTAGCAAATAGAATCCAACTACTCATCAAAAAGATCATACACCATGACCAAGTAGGATTCATCCCAGGGATGCAAGGATGGTTCAACATTCGGAAATCAATCAACATAATCCACCATATCAACAAAAGAAAAGATAAAAAGCATATGATCATATCAATAGATGCAGAGAAAGCATTTGATAAGATCCAGCACCCCTTTATGATGAAAACCCTAGCCAAAATGGGTATAGAGGGGACCTTCCTCAACATAATTAAAGCCATCTACCACAAGCCTACAGCAAGCATCATCCTCAATGGGGAAAAACTGAGAGCCTTCCCTCTAAGATCAGGGACGAGACAGGGATGCCCACTCTCTCCACTGCTGTTCAATATAGTACTGGAAGTACTTGCAATAGCGATTAGGCAGGAAAAAGATATTAAGGGCATTCAGGTAGGAAAGGAAGAAATCAAGCTCTCACTATTCGCAGATGATATGATACTCTACTTAGAGAACCCAATAACTTCCACCAAAAAACTCTTAGAAACAATAGACTCGTATAGTAAAGTTGCAGGTTATAAAATCAATACCCAAAAGTCCATGGCTTTCCTATACGCAAACAGTGAGAGAGAAGAAAGCAACATGAAAAAAACAATCCCATTCACAATTGTGCCCCAGAAAATCAAGTACCTAGGAATCAGCTTAACTAAGGAAGTAAAGGACCTGTACAAAGAAAACTACAAAACGCTACTTCAGGAAATAAAAGAGGACATGAGGAAATGGAAAGATATCCCCTGCTCATGGGTCGGGAGACTTAACATTGTCAAAATGGCAATACTACCGAAAGCATTGTATAAATTCAATGCAATCCCTATAAGGATACCCATGACATTCTTCAAAGAAATGGAGCAAACACTCTTGAAATTTATATGGAACAATAAGCCCCCACGAATAGCTAAAGCAATTCTTGGGAAAAAGAAAATGGGAGGAATCAACCTCCCGAACTTCAAACTGTACTACAAAGCAGTAATAATTAAAACAGCATGGTACTGGAACAAAGGCAGAACTGCAGACCAATGGAACAGGGTTGAATACACTGACATTTCTCCTCAATCATATGCTCATCTAATCTTTGATAAAGGTGCAAGTAATGTGAAGTGGAGTAAGGAAAGCCTCTTTAATAAATTGTGTTGGCATCACTGGACGGCTACATGCAAAAAAATAGGCTCAGAACTCTGCCTAACACCATGTACAAAAGTAAGATCAAAATGGATTAAAGACCTCAACATCAGACCAGAAACCATAAGGTACATTGAAGATAAAGTTGGCAAAACCCTCCATGACATTGAAGCTAATGGTATCTTCAAAGATGCCACGCCACTGGCCGAGCAAGTGAAAACAGAGATAGATAAATGGGACTATCTTAAACTAAGAAGCTTCTGCACCTCCAAAGAAACAGTGACCAAAATACAAAGACAGTCTACAGAATGGGAAAGGATATTCACCGAATACACATCTGACAAGGGGTTGATATCCAGGATATACAAAATACTGGTTAAACTCCACAAGAAGAAAACATCCAACCCCATCCAAAAATGGGGCAATGAAATGAACAGAAACTTTCTCAAAGAAGAAATCCGAATGGCAAAAAAGCACATGAGAAAATGCTCTACATCATTAATCATCAGGGAGATGCAGATCAAAACCACAATGAGATACCATCTCACACCTCAGAGACTGGCCCACATTCAAAAGAACAAAAGCAACCGATGCTGGCGTGGATGTGGCGAGAAAGGGACACTCCTTCACTGTTGGTGGGAATGTCCACTGGTTCAGCCCTTCTGGAAAACAGTATGGACGATTCTCAAAAAATTAGAAATTGAGCTCCCATTTGACCCAGCAATACCACTCCTGGGAATATATCCCAGAGAGGCAAAAATGTATAGTCGAAGTGACATCTGCACTTGTTTGTTCATTGCAGCCCTCTTTACAATAGCCAGAAACTGGAAGAAACCTGAATGCCCAAGAACAGATGACTGGTTAAAGAAACTTTGGTACATCTACACAATGGAGTACTATGTAGCTCTTAGAAAAGATGAAGTCATGAAATTTACATACAAGTGGTACAATATGGAAAGTATCATGCTAAGCGAAATGAGTCAGAAAGAGAGGGATAGACATAGAAAGATTGCATTCATCTGGGGGATATAAAGTAACAAAGTATGAGATTAATACCCAAGAATAGCTGAGATCAGCACCAGGAGTATTACTCCATAACTTAGAGGCCAGCCGGGTATCCTAGAGGAAAGGGCAGCTCAGATAGAGAAGGGAGCACCAAATAAAGGATGTTTGGAGGATCCTCCCAGGAGGGGAGATGCATGTCGAAAGTAGACTATGGACTGAACATGTTCGCCACTCAATGCCTCTTTTGCAGACCACAACACCCAAAAGGAGAGAGAGAACACAGGGGATTGCCCTGCCACAGAGACGGGGGGATGGGGGGATGGGGGGATGGGGGTGGGAGGGATATTATCCATGGTGGTGGAAAATGGGCACTGGTGGAGGGATGGGTATCTGATCATTGTATAATTGAAACCAAAGCACAAAAAATTGTAAATCTACAACTTTAAAAAAAATAAAATAAAATAAAGGGGAAAAAAAAAAATCTGAACCCAGTTCAAGACGTTGGTGTATACCAGACATCAAGTCCTTACTTATCTTTACCATTTCTTGTTATTTTGGTATGTCCTCATGACAAGGATGTATGTAGCATGTGCTTGAGAAGTTCTTTTCCTACACTAACATTTGGGAAGATTGTGACAGAACCTATCCTCCTTGA